ACAAAAAATAAGAAAGATTTCTAGTTCAATTCTAACCTGTTTTTATTTATTTCTAATAACGAACTGTCCAGATATATATTCATCTGTCTGTCACATTATCTCTATCCTAGCAGTTATCCTATCTACTATTTATTTACCTATATATATGTATATTTCTAGATATCTTTATTTCATTATTGAAAAGTATGTTTATGTGTACATCTGTATTGTTTTAAAAATTCTAATTTAACTTTAAAATAATCTTGGTATTATTATTATTATTATTACTACTGTTATTATCCCTTTTGACAATAAATGAAGTAGATTGAATTATGTATGAACTAACTGTGAACAAAAAGTTTTTTAAAAAATTTTAGCTACTTATAAATTGCAAGTAGATAAATTAAAAATGTAAATATTTCAGAACAGCTGAGTACATATGATTTAATGAAAAAAATTATTTTAAGTATGAATCAAAATTTGACTGTTTCCAATATTTAAATTCTGACTAACAACTTGATGTTCCTCATAGTGACAATCGTCTTTTTTTAAAGCTTTAGTTATTTTATAACTTTAATTTGTTTAATTTGGAGTTTTCCGAACTGATTCATATATTCATGGGCCTATATTATGTCAGAACGAAGATTGAAGGAATGATAACTCACAGAACTAGTGCATGGATTATTATTATTATATATTCTTATTTTATGCTTATTAAGTAACTAGATTACTAAGTCTATGTATTTCATTTGTTATAAGCTTTCGGTTGACTCATAAACTACTATCATTACAACTTAATATTCCTAAGCTGTTGTCAGTCGATTCCCTATAGTCACCTCAATTCACAGCCACTTGGCGTTTGTTCATACATAATAGTTATTTTGTATTATATGGTGTGACGATATATCTGTATGTAAATCATGTCTGTTTGAAGTATAGATTTATTAGAGGCTGGTTACTATTTCTGAACTCAATTCACGGAATAGAGAGGAGCATTCAGGTGACGGACCAATATGAAATTAGCTATCTTTTAAAGGTCACTTGTGAAAGTCGGGCACGTAATTGGTCAGTTTGAGGATAGTATATACTGTCAAGGAAATAGTAAAGGTGAAATAGTTCAAATTTGAATTAGGAATCTGAGTAGTGATTTGGCACATGACATTATTCAACGGTAATGTTCTCTGTTCTACAATGTTTGGTCAATGTAACGAGAATATATGCACTTAAATTTTTTAATAATCATTTGTCTATATGGAGGAATCTTTCTTCTTTATTGTACTATATCTAATAAAAAGATCCAAATTGTATTAATCTCATCATATTTATTTCCAATTAAAAATGTCGATTGACTATTTCTTTAATATTCCGATTATTATTAATACTTACAAGGATAATATAATGGTCAAAGCCTAATGGTAAATAAAGTGAAAGTATGAGTGGAAGATCTTGTAATTAAGTACACTATTCACTAAATCGAAATCATCTCTCATAAACCTTTGTGTTTGAGTTATATTCCAGGAATGATAACAAGATGATACTGTTAACACGACGTACAATCTTTAGTGTGATGATGCTTGGGAACATAGTAAAATTTGTCAGTAAACTACAATAATGGATATGGTGTTATATCTCATGGCCTTGTGCCTCCATCAATGTATAACGTAACGATACCGCCAATTAGAGAACAGTGGGCTATTGACCGAACCAATGACGTATAAAACCCGTACAAGCAGTTTAGAGTCTTTATCGGTCCTTCTTCTTGCCTAGCCCCGCCTGTTAAGTCCAGAACATCAATCTCAGCCTACACTACATAAATCATGTATTTCAAACATACTGGGTTTATTTACAAACCAAACAGACCACATCACATCATAAAATATGAAAACAACATTTATACAAGATTTAGCCAAATGTGGCTGTCAATATGGAAGATAGTAATTGATATACAGGGCATAACTCAAGAATGGTAATAGGTCATAGGTCAAAATAAAGCTTAGAATAAGAGAAATACAAATATGAGTAGTTCAGTTATTTAACAATTATACAATAAAAGTATACGTATAGTATTCAGTTCAGAAATAGATTCCAACAATTACCATTCATTATTCTCATCGGAATATAACAATAGATGATCGCAACATTAACATTTATTATTATTATTAGGGTATAGAGAGGTAGTCCAATGCCTTTCTAACCTCCACTTCGTTTTATTTGAAGTCTCATTAAGTTAATTAATGCTCTTGATTTCATTAAAAATTTATTTAAAAGAAAATTAACAGTCATTTAATGAACAATAATGATTTAATGATAGTTCAAGAATCATTGCGAACCCTGTGAATAGTGAAAAACTATTTCATCATAGATTTGGGACTCTTGAGTAGTATGCAAGCACCCATAAACCGATACATGATTGAATCTAACGCCTTCGGATACGACACTGTTCATGTTATCTTTAACCACTAGGTCCCAGGTTCGAGACACCTTAAGTACTTAGGTTTGAGCTAGCGGGGTGGTACTAATAGGCATACAAAAGTGTAGCTCAATGTTGAGTACATGAATGTGTACTTAATAAGTGAGTTAAATTAGACAGATAAGTCAGCTTGTATTTTTAACTTCATTCAGTTTATAATATATCTCAATTGTTAACTAATACAGTAGGTGAGTTATTGCTGTAAATTCCTTCAAGTTAACGGCGTAGGTAACAACTTTTTCGGTAAATTTTGCATATAAGAAGATTTAAAGGTTTTTGACTCAGTCCTGTATGGGGGTTACTGATCATTCACTACCATGAAATTTTAAACAAGGATATAAATATCTCAGTACACATATACTTAGGTAAACACTAATTATTTGTGTTTAAGGGTTTTTTTATAGATTGTTGAATTTTATAGTTTCCAACACAATCTAATTGCATTTGGATAGTCACTGAAAACCAGAAAGTACTGAACAGCCATTTTCTTCTAGTAAAGAACTCACAGCACTATCCATACATGATCTTAAAAAGGATTGAACCTAAGTTCTTTAGGCCTCATAGAGAGTGCTTAATCTTTCAACCACTGGTTTGAACTCTAGGAATGACCCTAAGTGGGAGCTAAAACTATGCTCTATTAATAAAGAGTCTACAATTCAGAAAAAAAACTAAGTTTACAATAGAACTAGTGTTTTGCGTGAACGACAGTCTCCATAGTATCCCTTACACTAATGATCATCATGTACTTCTTAGTGAGAGGTGATTTCCTGAGTTCTAGTAAAGAGCTTTGACTAATAAATTCTAACCGTGTTAGATGTGAGATATTTACTCGACGAAAACAATATAAGGTGGTTGCACAATATTGTGAATTAAATGGAGTTATTAATGTTAACAAGTGATCATTCACTGAATGGTTTCAATGTTGAGCGTTTGCAGTGAAACCTAAAGATCCTGGTTTCAACCGTCGCTAGGGTTGTATGTAGAGTGAGAATTTTAATACATCAATTTAAATTACTTAACATAATTAATGGAAAATCCTGAGATTTTGAATAGGATATCATTAGCTATGAGATTATTTTATACTTAAAGGAACAATCATCTTGCTTCAGTGTCCTGTTTTCACTTAACTATCATTCATTATAAAGGAAACTATGGGACTAAGTTGGTTCGTTTTTCTACATTTCTGTTTAATCTGTTCTTTTTACCTTCTTATTCTAACTAAATATATTTATTTCCGATCTTTCTTACTTCTTTCTGGTCACAAAACCAAATTCATCTAACACAATAGGAAGACAATAAGACATGAAAGGATTATGTATAGCTTGACTTTAACGGAATTTCAGAAATGTTTATAACGATCAATAAGGAATCGGGAATCAATTGATATATCCAAATATTTTGTCACATTAATGTTTTATGAATTCAGTTCATGTACTTATTGAACAGACTGAGATGTAAACTGGATGAGTATAGATATATCATCTAGCTGTACTCATATACCACCTCAGGGTGAAGCTATTAGAGGAGATCTATTATGCATCTCTTCATGGTTACAGTCAAAAAATCGTTGTTTGAGTTTGAAAGATAACCGTAAATATGCTTGTGATTTCTGTAACAATTTAATTTGACAATTAAACTTCCCTATTACTCTATTTAGTTTTCTCATTTACATGGTGTACCATACGAAGTGTATATCGTAACTGAACAGTAGAACACAACCTTTTATAATCATAGGGGGTTTTGTGGATATTATAGTAATCTTTAATGGTTGAATTGATGAATCGATTAAAGCTAGAACACCATAGTAAACCTGGAACCACCGGGCCGCCGTTTCGTCCCACCACAGGACTCCACAGCAGTGAGCATCCACGATCCCACTTTACGAGATTCCAACGCAGGACCTATTGGTCTCGCGCGCGAATGCTTAATCTATAAACCATTGAGTTGGCATCCAACGGTGTTAATGTCTAACTTCAACCAAGCCATGATAATGAGCCACTATCTACCACTGTCTTCAGTGAGTTACTGCTTCACAACAGACCCAGTTGAACTCCAATGGTCACTGCTTTTCACTAGAACTCCAGGAACTACCTCTTAAAGCCAGTCACTAGTGGGTATATAATAATAATTATCAGAAAGGGGAGTTTTATGTAGATTGTAATAATTTAATAGTTAAATTCATAAGTCAATTTAAGTCCATCCAATACTTCCAAATTTTCAATGCTGATCTAGCTTTAATCAACTCATGAATTCAATTATTAAAATTAAAAAAAATCCCCCTTTCTGATAATAAAATCTTTTTCAAAAAAAATGAAAAGAAATTTACTTCTCACAATTCTTCCCCCCTCCTTTTCAAATAAAAAAAAATTAAATCAATAAATCAAACTCCAAACTAATTTTTGAAAATATTAACTATTAAATATTAAATGAGAGCGAGAGAGAGAGAGAGTGGGGGGGGAGAGAGATAGAAACAGAAAAATCTATTTTAGTTATTGTTCACGTAATTATTATTATTATTATTATTATTATTATTATTATTATTATTATTCAATTAACATTGTTGTATTGTATGATTTGTTATTGGTTTTGATTGTATATTAATTTGAATTGGACGAAATTCACGTATTACAGGAACAATTACATCTTGTGAATATGTAGCCCATGAACTAATGATTGGATACATAAACCGTTCCCAATGTGCACTACATATATAATTGATATCACAAAAACAATTAATAATAATATGTAATAAAAACCGTAAATATTGTAAAAATGGTTTAAATAAAGTTAATGTAATCATACGTAATAATTCAATACAAAATAAACATATTGTTGAAAATACAATCCCTATAGCTAAACATCCTTCACGTAGACCACGATGTATTTTTTGATGAGCTCTAAAAACAAAGAGAAAAATAAATAGAAAGAAGGATTGATGAATGAATTGGATATTATTATTATTATTATTGTTATTATAAAAAAAGGAGTATTGTAAAGTATATTATGTTATAACACTCGGGTTTCATCATCTACACAAATGGGACGCTAAGTTGCCTTAGACAAATATCTATATTAGATTCTCTTACAGTGTCTATTCTACAGGACTTCAACACAATTCAGATCAAGTACACGTGATTAGCCTGACTAGAACTTAAATATATTTCCACACCACAACCCGACAACGATCACAATAATAATAATGATAATAAGGATAAAAGAATATAAAACTCATATAGTCATTTATTAAACTATCTACTATCTACAATTGATTGATCACTGGGTGGTGATCAGTGTCATGTGTGTCAAGTCCTTCTTACTGCAGATCGAATGCTATCGATCAAGTTGCAATGTGGCCACTAGTCTAAGTGACTTGACATTGCGTGCACTATGTTGAGATAAGATGGTGGTTGGAGGTAGTCAACAGGAAACCCTGGACCCGGATTTCGTGTTACATGGCACTCATCAGCAAAGTGTACCTGTAATCTTGAGGGAACTGGTGCTCCCTGACGAGTGCCAAATAGCACGAAACCCGGGTTCAAGGTTTCTTGTTGACTACTTCCAACCACCAACTTAGACTATCTATTAGTCTGACTAAGCAAACAACCAATCATTGTCATTCTAACTCACACATCATAATAAATAATAGTAAGGTATCGGGTTTGAATATATATGTGAACATTCATAGTAAGTGTTATATCCTAGTGAAGATTTAATTACGGGTAACTTCCGAGAACTATTAATGGGCTAATATAATATAAATAAACATATTCTTATTGTATAACTATTCAGTAATTAGATTGTGTAAATTTATATTCCTCTCATTATAAGCTTCATTTTGATCTATAGATTATTATTATACGATTATACTCAGTTTATTAATTACAGTCTTCCACATCCACAGCCACTTTTTAGCTTGATCTTGTATAATGTTATTTCCTATTTTGTGGTGTGATGCGGTCTGTTTGGCTGGGATATAAACCAAATATGTTTGAATTAAATGATTCGCATAGTAGAAACTGTTGTTGGAGTTCTGGACTTAACTAGACGGGCTAGGTGAATTAAGGACCAATAAGGACGCTAGACTGCTCATACCGGTCGAACGTCATTGGTTTAACACAGTACTAAGATTGAATAAGTCGTATTTGGATTGGCGAATAAATCACGTTATAACTAGCCGGGTTTAAAGTTACAACAGTAAGATCCAAGTGTATTCACTTGATGTGTTTATTAGTAGCTTTAATCTATCTATTCTGTGAAATCATGTATTTAATACTACTTAATCGATAGTTATTATAAACTTAATATCAGTTAGACGTTAGATGAAATATATGTGAACTAATGAGATTCAATTCAGAGCATTTAAAAGTTGAATCGAAGTCAATATCATCTTCCAGTCATTTTATTGGATCCCATGATTCTCATTTCTTCTGAATTCATTAGTTTGAAGATATAGTAAGGTTTCTAATGAATATCTCAAATAAACTGTTTTACTACTTTTATCTTGGTTCAATTCATTGGTGTAGAGTCGTCATTCAAACTTTCAGAGATTAACGTTAAATACGGTAATTAGGGGGAACAAGAATATGTTATAGATAAATGACTTGTATCGTTCACATTCACATAAATATGAAATACTGAATTTTTATATTATAAATCGCCCGACAGTTCTATACTTATCTAAAAACTTGAAGGTTCTTATTTTGATCCCAGTAGGATTTAAGCCTTACCACCTAGTGTCATATTCAGAGGTATCATCAGTGAACTTGTTGTGTACTGACTAGCCTATCATACAACCGACATATTTACACAGATCGTTCTTTGGGTAGAATCCAATGTTGTGTTTATATAATCTGTTATGTCCTTGGCTTAAACAATTACCGCGAATACAACAGTCAGATTTAGATGTACGGACTTATACGACCAACAAATGATGTATATACCTGAACGAACAGTCTGAAGTACCGATTGGTCATTTTTCCTACCTATTAAGTTCAGAACCCAAATTTCAGCCTCCGCAATATAAATCATGTATTTTAAACATATTAGGTTTATATACAAACCAAACAGACCGCATCACATCATAAAATAGACAATAACAATCGTACAGGATCTAGCCGAAAAGTGACTGTGATTGAGGGAGACTGTTTTTAATGAACTGAGTGTAACTTAAGAATGGTAAGTTGTATAATAATAGTTCATATGTTAAAATGAAGCTTATAATAAGAGGAATATGAATATACATAGTTTGTGTTTAGTATTAGTTCATAAATAGATCTCATTAGTTACTATTCATTATTCTCATCGGAATATAACATAATCCTTAGTGCTAATAAAATTTAATCGAGAAAGCTTAGATATAGTCATTAGTCTCAATGATTCAGTATTGTGTTTTCTTGGAAAAAGGTGACAGTTAAAAATGGATAAAAGAACACCAGACTCATTTGTCATCTTTTTCTGATTGAATAATTCTACTTGTCAGAACATATGCCTAAGAGTTGTGTAAAGAAATTTCTATTGAATTACTGTATTGCTCAATAAGTAATTGAACGGTAAAATTCGAAATCTAAATTGTAAAGTTTGAATTAAGTTGTAAGATGAGAAAAGTAGCTAATTTTAGAAATGAACGATGGCTAACTACTCATTTCAATTAGTAATATATTAAATTATTATTTATTTATTTGAACACATAAAAATTTGTATAAATGGGCACCGAATACATATGCGCCACACAAATCAAGTGATTAATGTGTGTACTGTGATACTACTCGGGTGCTCAGACCAAAGCAGATGGTTTTCTTGGGGGGCCACACCCGGAGCCGTTGACCAGAAGGTCTGATCCACAAGGCAATAGAGTAACGTCAGCAGATGCAGTCTCATGGTAGCCAGTGACCAATAATTGGTTCATACACCATTTGTTCCTTCAGGATACTGGGACCAGCCCATGTTCACCATCGGTTTGAAATCAGGGTTTTCCAACTCCCCTAGGTAGATCTTTCATATTCATCAACTCGGTTAAAGCACCGGATATTCGTTTTTCGTTCTTTCAATTTCGTAAACAACACCTTCACCATGAGAAGGCAGTGAATAGGACTTCCCTGTCAGTGGCTGTATATGCGTGGCGATGTGAGAGTATTTCGAGAAGGAGAGCTAACTCTCCTCACCCTCGGCCGTACCAGGGCATTTGGGGGCATATTAAATTATAACTTCAATTATACTTTATTCATCTTTAGTTAACTACATGTATTGGATTTACACTAGACAAAAATGACATATACTCATTATGAACTTACTTTTCAGATATTTGTTCCATTTTTGCTTCCGGTATGGGCAAGTATTGAATCTGTCCAAATGTATCACAAGAAAAGAAAAGAAAACCCAGTAACATTTATGCTGCTTTACGAAATTGGTAATGAACAGCATGCTGTAAAAAAATGACAAGGATTAGATTTTACCGAAAAACAAATGGAATTCGAAATGAAGGTGGAACATCCTGGGTTTGAATGAAGGTAGTGTTGAAGACTTCATTTGTTCAGTCTCAAATGTTATGTGCTCATCTTGAGTGAAGCTTCTCCACATAGCTTTGCATCATACGCTTTAGTATGTGTGTTATATGAACAATAATGGAATTCAGGACGCATGTCTAATCCTATATAATGTCAATGATTACACTCGAACTCAAACCAAGTGACTTTTGATTCAAACTTGAACATGTTATCCACTGAACTATTATGCTGGACAGCTATCATACCTGTTATTGGTTGTCCTAACTCAGCAGCTTGGTGAATAACTCATTGTGTATTCGAAAAGCTAGACATGGAGTTTGAATCTCAGTGTCAATAATAGTGCATTAGGATGCATGCACATCCATCTGAAAAATCCTGAACTGGACGAAACATAAATCTTAAATTTTAGTATTATTCATTACGCAACTTTACTAAAATAACGATCTCAGGGGTCAAAGTTTGGTCTCTAATAACTAAAACAGGCTTGTGGTTCAGATATAATATACATACCTCTGTTGGAGATGCTAAATCCCATCTTTATCATGTAAATCTGAATTCCTCATTTTCATGCTAAAAGCGCCTATTCTTACCTTTAGTTTGTGTTTCCCACCCGAAAAGATCTTAAATGTCAGTGGTTTGATCTAGACTGAATCTGAATACAATTGATCTAGTTCAGAGCACTGTCAAGAGTATTTTGTGGATAAAACAAATTAATCTCCCATGGTAGCATTATCCACGTTCGGGACGAAACGCGCTTCCTGGATTCCGCTGCTAGCCTCTATCCATCTTTGCTTATAATGATTGTGAATTAAGGAAATATCGAGGCAATCCGCACAGTATGCACATACGCCAAAAAGTGACTGATCAATTACAGCTCTAAATATCAATTAAACAATACCAAGTGAATTCATATTACTTTAGCTTAACGTTTTGTTGTCAGCAATTTACCATTAAACCATTTACTCTGTTCATTTATTAGCAAATATATGTTACACCATAAAGTGTATTATTAAAACTATTTTTCTAATCAGCAGTTGTCACAAACGTATAACAATTATTATATATATATATATATATATATATATATATATATATATATATATATATATATATATATATATATATATATATATATATATATGATATTAACCTACTTGTGAAGTATTGACAAAACAATTCCAACTGGTGTGTATATAATTCTTGTCTAAATGACCCTCTTTATATTGACATTCCATATCCATATTTTCAGATGTAATATGTGCCCGACAATATGTTGGCGGTTCGTATGGAATATGAGTATTGTCAACTTTTAATTGCATAGAAACAGTAGGAAAGTGGAGTATTGATAATGATTGATAATGAAATTTGATGAAAATTCGTAAATTAGTTTTACCTACTTAATTAACTTATAAGTAGCTAAAATGTCAAAAAATATTTTTCCCTGCACCATTAGAAAACAACTCTGTCAGAGTTAATGAATGATGGAAAAAAAGAGTAAAGTAGAAAATAATTTTTAGTTAGAACTGTTAAAAGATCTTTGGCCAAAATGACCTTTGATGTAGTTAGAATTTTTAAACGATCAACTGTTTAGGAAAAATCTCCCCTTACCCAAATTCCGCTCACGGGTGATGAGATTTCAAGAAGAATCGACTGAAGAATCAAGTTGACACTAAAAATAAGCTTCTCTATTGCTCAATCAGTTTCATTACACACTTATTCTACTATACGTTACTACTTACTAGTGTGTAAATACACATCGATATTAATTATGTTTATTCATACACTTTGTGCTCCCATTAATTTTATTATTATGAATATGGTTAAGTTCCGAACATTTATCTAAACCTCACAAAGTAAAGTTCGTTAAAAATTTGTTAGTAATTGTAATTCTAGGTTGTATGCAGCTGATGTGAAACCGTGAATTAGAGTGATGGATTCATTTTACTCTATAAACTTTGTTGTTTTTACTCTGTTTAAATTTAGCAATTGATCTGGCTGCATAAAACTTTTATGTTTGCGGAATAAACTGATTGTTATATAATGTCATGAGCACAGAATTCAAATAGAAGGTTGAGAATAGGAATAAGGGGAAAAAAACAGTCGAAATTAATGTTTAGACATTGATTAGAAAAGTGTCAACAATAATCAATTAATTTTTTGATTGAGATCATGAACCGATTGATGTCAGAACACCAGTGAAAATTTGGAAGCACTGGACGACCGTTTTGTCCTATTAAATTCATAACTGATAGTATAATCTGTTAGATGCCCCTATGATGAATTTATCATAGCTGATTTCTACCTAAAATTTATAGTGATAATTTCGCTTAGAGACAAAATGAGAGCTTCAGGAATAGACTATTTATCTCATAGAATGTAATTTAATTTTTTTGTTTAAAATTACCTTTTCATAATGTGCAATACATTTGTTGTTTAATGTTAAGATGGCTTATATTGGAAATCGAGAAAAAAACAGTTCTGATAACTGTATTTTCCTTTTTTGTGACACATTATTTATGTTCAATTATAACCATATACAGATACGGAATCGATAGAAGAATGGATTACTCACGGGAGAATCACGTTAATATTGGGTTATTTAGTAGGAATCGTTTTCTTCACAAATGCCAGTTTAGTCAATTATATGGTCGACAGTAAGATACTGGAATTATATTTTCAGGTATTCTGAACTTGTCAGCACAGTGTATCTGCAACATTGAGGGAACAAATGTCACCTATAGGATCTAGAGCCAGGTCATCTTCCTTTAGAATCCAGGGGGTTACCATTAAGCTTATCATACCATGACTAAACTCGTGAGTAGTGACAAATTTTAAGTAAGCCTAGTTCGTAGTACTGATCAATCAACTGTCTCAGACTTCATTGCTCTTTCGTTTCCACATCAATCATTCGATGTTCTCATACTCTTTCTTTCAATCTTATTAACTTTTTGCCACCAGGCACTTCGCTTTCGATTGATAATACATACTATTTACATCTGTTGACATAAGCATGACACACCACAAGACTAGTTGCCAGATTACAGAGTGATTGATAATAATCTGCTTAGCACACACTAGTCACCATTCAGTAATCAATTAGTATTAATGGATCAAATTATTCTATCCTAAAGCACCTTAAAGTACATTAATAATAGGCCATCAATGTTTGAATATTTAATTCAAAATGACACTTCTTTACGTAAAACAGATTACCTCGTCTGTTATTGTCATTTGTAAATGGAATTCCAGAAGTATTCTTATTTTCATTTACTTTATACAAAGAACTACGAGCAGCATGTTTTGGGACATTCTGTTTTTCATCGTAAGACATAGCTGGATTCATATGAGACCATTCATTGTTTTCATCAGAAGGTGAATTCAATGTTTCAACAACTTTGGTTCGATCTGTTAAAGAGAACAAAATATATTTGAAAGATTTAAATTTGCCGCCAGTGATTCAATTGAAGACTTACATTTTTCGAGGTGAATTTATTAGTTTTTCATTATGAACAGTATGTATGTTTAATCATAGTTTGGATCACGGACTGATATAGTTCAACCACATCTGGTCGAAATAGCTGAAAACGACTGGTCAGAAGTATGAAACAGTTAACCATCACAGGCAATAGAGATGGTAGCATAATATCGTGAACTGATTGAAGTTCGACATCGGCACCACTGGATTCCGGCTCAATGGTTCAATGGTTAACAGCTCACGTGCAAGATTGGAGGTCTTAAGCTCGATCTTCTGTAGTTAGGTTGTGGATGGGCACTGTTGAAAAGTCCTATACCAGAATGAAATGGTTATCCAGTGTTTCCAAGTTTTCAATGACGGTCTTACTCAGATTAGATTGTGATTTACACTATGCAAATTTTACAATTTCCACAAATCCGCCTATGTAAAATATATGATCCTAAGAACAATGCTGAAAATAATACCATTCAAGTGGTATTGTTACTTATGTAACAACAAAGTATTCTGTTGATAAATTAATTTTGAAATAGTTACATATTAATTCAGAGACCATTATTTAAATCGTGTAGAAACACAAAGATAAAATCTAAGAAAGTTTTTGGCCAATTTGTTGAAAACTTGGTTTTAGAAAAATTATGGGAATCAAAATTCCATTTTAATTCATTCTGGTGTGACAACCTATGCCTATGGACAAGTTAAAGAGAAGAGCTGGACGAACTTGTTTTGAGTTGCAAGTTTAGATTTATGAGCATGGATTCCGGTAACTTCAAAAGTACTCAAAAGAAATGTAGATCTTATGGCAAATTCGACAGAATACAGTGAATAACTTGAATAGCTTTATTTAAGTCATTTTTACTTCTTGTGTAAATCAAATGGATAAGAATAGAATTCTTAATCAAGTTTAATTGTACTTTATTCAAAAAAGTCAGATGGTGTCAGTCAATACGATGGCATATTTGATGAATCGTATGACTTTTCTAATTGGCTCCATAGGATTAATTGAATAGATAAACACATATGAAGTTCCGCGTGCAAGACCGAAGGTCATGGGTTCGATTCACGTGTACAAGGTTGTTAATCGACACTGCCAAAGAGTTTCATACTAAGATGGAACGACAATCCAATACTTCTAGGTTTTCAATGGGGGTCTAACTTAGACCTGTTCAGGGTTTCAATGAAAAACGAACATAATTTTGTTTCCTTTCAACGAATGTATTGAATCAGTGAGAATTTAGCACAATTCCTAAAAATGTGTGGAATAAAAACTGAGAATGGTTACATTCAAGAACAGAGCTCGAAAACAATAAACTATGTAATTTTCACTATACTACATACTGAAAACTGACATTGAATGTTTTTATTAGTCTACGAATATGGCGAAATTCGATATGAAAATATTTAACTTAGGGTCAGTAATACTTAATGGCCATAATTTTAGCGAACAAAAAACTTAATTTAAAGACTCATGTTTGGTCATTTTTAATTATCATAGTTCAACGCAAGAACTGATTTTAACTAGACCACCAATAAAGACCTGTAAGCACTGAACTGCCGTTCCATCCTAGTATTAGGCTCTTCGAAATTGCTTTTCCACTACCCCACATTCCAGAATACAACCCGGAAACTTTCTTCTCGCACATGAACTCTTAAACTTTAGGCCAATATGTATAAAATGAAATACAGTTTGACGGGTTTAGAGTCATTTAAAATGTTCTTACAAATTTGTCATTTAGGGGAAATCGTTAGATGAATCTCCGTTGAAGTTTAGTTTTAGACAGAAAGATGTCTTTCAAGTTACATGTATCTCCAAGTTCTTATTCCCTAAATACATATGTTTCTTTAAAAAGCTTAAGGTTAATATTTCTCATTGATTTGTTTGGTAAAACTATGTTTAATCAGGGACCATGGACGAAATTAGCAACAGTTCTAATATCATTTACTAGCCAATGATCTTTCATGACAAATGTTAACGAAGTTTATGTGTATACAGAGAATTCTATGTAGTTTACAAATTTATTTCACAGTTTTTAATCTGTGTTTTTTCATCGCGAAATCAAAGAAATTTTATGACAGAAACTCATTAATCGGAATGGGAAAAAGATTTCGGTTTCATTATCTGAAACGTTACATTGAGCCATCTTGGCCATGACGGACCTCCTGTAGAATTTAAATGTTTATGTTAATTTATCATTGATGATTGATCAATGTTATATTTGTCGAATTCTTAGTTCCGCCTGAATTCTTTGTACCAAATAGTTCAGCGGTAACGTCTCACTCTGTGAAGCTGTGTGACAAAAGTTCAAATTCCTCAGGTAGCATCGCTTTTCCCAAGACTGGAGACATAACCCATCGATTAATGCCAGTAGGCATCAAACCTAGGTTTAGAGTTTCTTGCCGACTGCTTTCAGCAAATTAACATCTTAACATAGTGCACACGATGTTGAATCACTTGAACTAGAGGTCATACTGCAACCTGATCGATACAATCTGATTAATACTAAGAGGGACTTGACATATATGACATTGGTAACTACGCAAGGACCAATCAATCCAGCCCACGTGATCTGTTTAAGGATTTACAGTAACCAAATGGAGGAGCCAGTTATGAATATAATTTGCATCAAAACGAGTAATCATATCATATATTTTTGAGTTCTACGCACTGTCATTTCCATTCTATGATAGTACAACAGATTCTTGCCAACTCTAGGGCTTCACAAAGTTGCATATATGGTGTACATGTTTATATAAATGATTTACCACATACTCAGCTTTAAGGTAGTAATTCCTTTACAGTAGAGTTAAATATAGTGGGTATAACAGAGTTCAAAACCTGAGCATTCAGTTAGTTATAAATTCATTTGAATAAAACATTAGGTCATAGCTTCATTTACTAAGTTCATAATAGATAGAATCGTTTCATTTTTAATTCCATGCAAAACGTCAAGTATTACTGGCTTAATCTTGACTTATTCAACTGTATCGTATCACTTGTTTATTTATTATCACTCTAACTCACACAGATAATCAATCGTAATAATTCAATTTAAAAAAATGTGTTTTTCTATACAACATCGAAATCAAAATCCATTGACACATATTTTCAAGAAAACTTTATCTACTGATTACTTTCTTATATAAGAACTTTCGTCTAAATTTGAATGAATAGTTCTATAGTATTTGGACGCCAATTTAAAAAGAAAGAATCAATTTGTAAAATCTGAGCGATTGAATTTTAAATAAGATGGTGGTTGGATGTAGTCGATAGGAAACCCTGAACCCGCGTTTCCTGCTACTTGACACTCGTCAGCAAGGTGTACCTGTAATCTTGAGTGAACTGGTGCTCCATGACGGATTTGATCCCGTGTCACCCAGCTTCACAGCCAGAGACGTTACTACTGAGCTATCCGGGCAGCGACTGACCTCCTGTAGGACTCACATGTGGTCACAATTGATTGATCACTGGGTGGTGATCAATGTCATGTGTGTCAAGTCCTCCTTAGTGCAGATTGAGTGCTATCGACCAAGTTGAGGGAGCACCAATTCCCTCAAGATTACAGGTACACTTTGCTGATGAGTGCCATGTAACACGAAATCCGAGTCCAGGGTTTCCTGTTGACTACCTCCAACCACCATCTTATCTCAACATAGTGCAAGCAATGTCAAGTCACTTGGACTAGTGGCCACATTTCAACTTGGTCGATAGCACTCGATCTGCACTAAGAAGGACTTGACACACATGACACTGATCACCACTCAGTGGTCAATCAATTCTAAATTTTAAATAAATCCAACGTTTTGCTCAGCAATTTAGTCCAAGTATTTTCAAGAAAATATAATCAAACACAATTAGGTATATAGTTCTTCGGCTAACTGTATACCAAATAGGTCATCCAATCATGTTAATAATGTTTAAAGTAAGTATTTGCTTTATTTTCTATGAGATGTATGGTGTATAAAAAAAAAGTGTGTTAAGATCACAGATTGTGTGTATTCATAAATGGAACTGAGGTGTGAGAAGATTGTTTCTTTTTTGTTAATTGTCAAATTATAAACAGAGAATTTGCGTTAGTAACTTTATAACCATCAATAATTACAGGTTAATCATAATGGTGTTTAATGGGAAATTTTATTTGTATTTTTCAATGAGACTATAATTTATGAACTACTTTTAAGTGACGCTAAAGTAACCTTGAGTATATCCACCTACTAACCAGGATTAAATGAGGGTTACAAACCAGTATGAGGAATTAGAATTATGATTTACAATTGACGGTTAGGGTTAGAAATTTCATTTAGGGTTTTCATCATGAACTGACATCGGCCAAAATGCCGAAATGTTATTTAGCCAAATGGATGAATGAATTTCGCGCCAAAATCCGAGACCCGTTATTTTATATCTGATTAGTTCGTTCATACATTATAGTCTCTCCATAATTTCATATGGTTGAGTGCATGTGCATGTCTATGCATTATCATGTGTTAGTGTCTGTCTACATATCTACGTCAGTCTATCACACTATCAACATGAAATGTGTAAATATATATGTGTATACATGAAAATCAATAATACCGCGATTTAATTATCAGCTGTTTATTCATTTTGCTAAAGAAAAATTCCAATAAACACCATTGAATTTTTAATCTTTTCAAGTCTTTTTGTTTCACATCAGTAATTGTTTTAATTGCATATTTCTAATCTTATTTAAATATAACCCATGAATGAAGTACATGTTAATGTATCTGGTTTTCAGCTATACCAAAAGTGTAAAGTGTTATTTACACTACAACTGGTAAAGTAGATGTTTGAACTTAAGATCATGTGATTGAAAGCCATATATATTTAAAGGTTAGTTAATTCCTTTGAATCCAGTTTCGGCTACTGAAGTTTAATCCGTAGTGGTAATAGTCCTCTCGACTATTGGTGGTG